TCTCCCCACTTCCTCTCCTTTCTTCCCTCCCTTCCACTCTCTCTAAAACTCAATGGAAAAAATATCTGCAAGTAAGGATTAACAACAACAACAACAAAAGAGTTAAGATTATACAACTTACTCTCAGACTAAAAAAAAAAAAATGTAGCCCAGCTGGCATGCTCAGTGGCTGAGCATCAACCTATGGAACCAGAAGGTCATAGTTCAATTCAATGAAAACAAAAAAGAAAAAAGTGGAATTCAATGAAATACAAAATAGACAAAAAATGAGAAAAAAATGAAATTGATAGTTGGTTCTTTGAAAAGGTCAATGAAACTGTTAACCTATAAATAATCCAACCAAGAAGAAAAAAAAAACAAAAGGAAGACACATTTCTAATATCAAAAATGAAAGACAGGACATTACCACAAACCCCACAGACATTATAAGGCTAATGAAGGAATATTATTTTTTTAAGTTGGTAAACTATAAATTCATCAACTTAGATAAAATGGATAAATTACTTGCTAAAGACAAATGGTGTGCTTAATATTCAAAAATCAATGTAATGCAAATCAAAAGCATAATTACATATCACTTCACACCCACTAAGATGGTTGTAATAGAAAAGACAGAATAACGTAGCAACTATGTAAAGAAACTGGAACCCTCACCCACCACTAGTGGGATGTAAAATGTTATAGCCACACTGGAAAACAGTCTGGCAATTCCTCAAAATATTCAGAGAGTTACCAGTTGACACAGCAATTCCACTCCTAAGTACATATCCAAGAGAAATAAAAACATATGTTCAAATAAAAGCGTGTACAAGAATGTTCACAGCAGGATTAGCCATAACAGCCAAAATGTGGAAAAATACCAGATGTCAATCAATTGATGAATGGGCAAAAAATGTGGCATATCCATACAACGAAATATTATTCAGCAATAAAAACAAATCAGGTACTGACCATGCATAAACCTTGAAAATATGTTAAGTGAAAGAAGTCAGTCACAGAAAGCCACCTGTTTTTTATAGTATATTTATATGGTATTAAAATACAGACTTCTATTAGTATCAATTTAAATGAAATGAACTTCCAGTTTCCAGCTCTGCTTGTATTATAAAAAGCCTGGAAGTTGCCCCTCAGTCCTAAAAACAAGTTAAAGGCTGAAAAGAGCTAATGAACTTCTCACAGCAGTCGAAATGATGTAGCCATTAAAAAACAGACTGGGCTGGGACCGGTTTGGCTCAGTGGATAGAGCGTCAGCCTGCGGACTGAAAGGTCCCGGGTTGATTCCGGTCAAGGGCATGTACCTTGGTTGCGGGCATATCCCCAGTAGGGGCTGTGCAAGAGGCAGCTGATCGATGATTCTCTCTCATTGATGTTTCTAACTCTATCCTTCTCTCTTCCTCTCTGTGAAAAATCAATAAATTAAAAAAAAAAAAACAGGCTGGAAATTTTTTATATTTTTAAGTATACATAACCCACGTGACACAGCAATTCTACTCCTGGATATTTATCCCAGAGAAATGCAAAAATCTGTAAGCCCGTGTTCATGATAGCTTTACCCATAAGCGTCAAAAATTGGAGACAGCCTAGGCATCTATTAATACGCAATATAGCCATACAATAAATGCAACAACAGGGACAAACCTCAAAAGCACTGTGCTGAGTGAAAGAAGCCAGATACAAAAAAATGATATGCTGTGCCATTTGTATTAATACCATTTATCTGGCGTTTTAGAAAAGGCAAAACTTCAGGGACATAAAAGAATCAGTATTACCCTAATGAATTTGGCTCAGTGGATACAGTGTCGGCCTATGGGCTCAAGGGTCCCAGATTCGATTCGGTCAAGGGCATGTACTTTAGTTGCAGGCACATCCCCAGTAGGGAGGGTGCAGGAGGCAGCTGATCAGTGTTACTCTCTCATCAGTGTTTCTCTCTATCCCTCTCCCTTCTCTACTTAAAAATTTTTTTAAATTTTTTTAATTAAAAAAAAAATCAGTATTTCCCAGGGTCTAGGGTAAGGGAGAGGAAATTTACTGCAAAGAGGCAGAAGAAATTTTGGGGTTGCATAATTTTTAACTGAAGTGATGGCTAAATGACTATATATATATTTGTCAAAATTTATTAAACTATACATTTTAAAATGATTAATTACATCATAAGTAAATTATACCTCAATTTTTAAAATACACTCATAAAGTCCTGACCAGGTGGCTCAGTTGGCTGGAAATAAACTAAATTCATGAATTGGAAGATACTGTATAACTGTCAACTTTTCCCAAATTGATCTACAAATTCAATGTAATCCCAATTCAAGCAGGTTTTTTCTTGATGAATATTTACAAGCTTATTCTAAAATTTATATGGAAATGCAAAGGGTCTAGAAAAACTGAGCCAATCTCAATAAACAGCAAAGCTGGAGGAAGTACATTACCAGACAAGATAATAAGATCTATTATAAATTAAAATTAAGACAGTACACTGCTAATAAATAAATGACTGAATAAACAATGTCCAGAGACACATATAGTTAGCTGACTGTCAACGAAGACATACTGACAATTCACTGGGGAAAAATGGTTTTTCAATAAATGATGCTGTGTCAAATGGCTATCTATATGGAAAAAACACACACAAAAGAAATTTGCTCCATAATTCACAACATATGCAAAAATCATCTCAGATAAACTTTAGGTCAAAATGTAAAAGCAGTAACAATGAAACTTTTAGAAGAAAACAAGAAAAGATCCCCATGATCTTGTGGTAGGCAAGGATATAAAAAGCATACAGCAAAAAGAAAAATGCAACCAACTGGATTATACTGAAATTAAGAACTTCTCAACTGAAACCAATAACAATGAAAAGATGAAATGGAAGAAGGGATTTAATATATATATACATTCAGCAAGATTTGTTTATCCAGAAAATTTCATGTATTCCCACAAATAAATAAGAAAAAATAGATCCACAGCATAGAAAAATTGGGCGTAAGACCTAAATGGGTATTTTACCAAAGAGGATATCCAGATGGCCAATAACCATATAAAAATGTGCTGAACATTATAAATCATTAGGGAAATGTGAATTAAAACCATAATGAAAGATCCAAATGGATCCATTAGAAGAGCCAAAAATGGAAAACTGACTAAACTAATGTTGTTAAGAATGTGGAAAACCTGGAACTCTCACATCCTCCTGATGAGAATGTACATTGGTACCAAGTTCTTGGCTGTATCCACAAAAGCTGAACATCTGCAAAAACATACTATTCCATTCCTAGGTACATATATTCAAAAAATTTGTGTGTCTGAATATTCAGAGATACACAGAGATTATTCATAGCAGCATAATTTTGATGAGCCAAAGAATGGAAAAATTCAAATGTCCATCAACCATAGACTGGATATCACTATAGATTAGAATACTCAACAGTAACAACAAAATCACAAATGTACACAAAAACATGGATGAAACTTACAATGTTGCGCAAATACAGATTCAAATAATTTATATAAGCTATCTATTATTCCGTTTGTAAGGATAAATTATAGGCTAAAATGGCAAAATGTATAGTGTTAGAGGTCAAATAGTGGTCATCTGTGAGAACAAAGGTGACAGTGATTGGGAGGAAAGGATAGGGGCTTCTGGGATGCTGATGGTAATCTGAGTAGTGGTTACAAAGACATTTGTCCTTTGTGAAACTTATTTCATAATAATTCACCAAGCAATACACTTATAATTTGTGTATTTTTCTTTTCACATAGTATACTTTAATTTTTTTAAATTGACAATTCTATATATGCTCATAACTGAAGGAACTCTGAAATATGTGTGTGGTTAAGTGGAAGGAACAAATGATTAAACAGTGTGTATAGTCATGCACTGCTTAACAGGGATACACTGTGAGAAATGTGCCATTAGGCGATTTTGTTGTGCAAATATCAGAGTGCACTTACACAAACCTAGATGGCAAAGCCTGCTGCACACCTAGGCTAAAGGGTATAGCCTATTGCTCCTAGGCTACAAGCCTGTACATGTTACTAGGCAACTGTAACATAATGGTAAGTGTTAATGTATTGCATTACAATATTAGGTTATAATATGACATTTCAACAACTACAACATCACTAGGCCATAGGAATTTTTCACCTCCATTACAATCTTAAGAAACCACTGTCCTATCTGCGACCCACCATTAACCAAAATGTTGTTATGTGGCATCTTGACTATAAAATATAACAATTTTATAAAACAATAATGATCAAGAATATATGTTTACCTACAATAATCATAATGGTAACATTTACTGAACACTAAATACTTGCTAAGGCACTATGCTAGGCATTTTACATACATTTTTGCATTAATTCCTCTCAAAAACACTATGAAGTAGGTAGTGTCATAACCCTTATTTTATGGATGAGAAAACTGAGATAAGAAACATAAGGCACTTCCCCAAAGTCACGCAGTCTTAGAGCTGCAAAGATGGCACTATAACCCAGGTTCTCTAGATCAACTCCATGCCACACTATCTCTGGAAAGACACATACACACTGGCAGCGTAACTGCTTCTGAGAAGGGAATGGGGACTGAGACTGGCTGAGAGAAAGACTGGCTATCATAGTGTATCTAGTACCTTCTGAAGAAATACATTTGCATATCTTACCTATTTTAAAAAATGTATCTATTAAAAAGTTTTTTCGCCGAGACCGGTTTGGCTCAATGGATAGAGTGTCGGCTTGGGGACTGAAGGGTTCCGGGTTCGATTCCGGTCAAGGGCATGTATCTTGGTTGTGGGCATATCCCCAGTAGGGGGTGTGCAGGAGGCAGCTGATCGATGACTCTCTCTCATCGATGTTTCTAACTCTCTATCTCTCTCCCTTCCTCTCTGTACAAAATCAATAAAATGTATTTTAAAAAAAAAAAAGTTTTTTCTATGGTTTATAATCCATTAGCTACACAAAGGCTTTACCCAGGGCACGCATAACTCATTGTTTTATTGCTTTACCTGATTTAGGATGCAAAGCATCACACTGGGCATTATACATGTGAACAAATTCTTGGTGCCTTTTAATGAGCTGTTGTTTACTTCCTTGAATAGATAATCCATGCTGTTTTAGCTTTTTCTTTAAATCACGATCTGATAGCAAACTATATACAGTTTTGGGCAGCGGCTTCCTTTTGTGAACAGAACTAAAAAGAGAAAAAAAGAGATCACTGAGGGTTATTGTGAATCATCAAATGCTTTGCATGTAAAATAGTAATTTACCTTTTGACTCAATACCAGTTGATTGAGAGAACACAATCATTAAGATAAAAATGAGAAAAAGAAGGATGGAATTTACAAATAAAGTTAAAAGTGTTCAACATGACCAATATGGGGTGCCAGGGGACATTCAGATTGAGGGGTCTAAGTGAGCCAAAGAATGGAACTCCTGGATATTCTAAGCAAACTTAGAGAAACTTATGTGTCAGAAAGAGGTCAGTCCTAAAGATGCAGACCTGGGCCTCACATAGAAGGCTTGTGAACTATATGCTATGAGAACTTCACTGAGAACCACACTTACACAGATTTATGCAATTCTCTATCTCTTTATAGCACGCTTTTCCTAAAATGTACCTATAGTTTCCATGCAAAATCTCTATTAAAGCCAGTTATATCAGATGATTAGAGTACAAATGCTATTGAGTATTAAGCTATGGATTTAACACTATTATCATGTACTAGAGGCCTGATGCACGAAATTCGTGCAAGGAGTTTGACCCCCACCACCATGGCGGATGCCTCTGCCTTGGCCTCTGTCCGCTGCAGCTTCCTCAGGAAGGACATCCTGTCTAATTAGCACATAACACTTTTATTATTATAGATAGCTTCTTTAGAAGAAGTTTTGATCCACAGGCAAAAGTGCCCCTCAAACTCAAGGCAATCATATTGCAAAAGCAGTAGATGTAATAAAAGAATACCTGTTGGGACAATTAGCTTTGCCCAACTCATTACCACCAATGAAAAGAGAACTCAGAAAATTGACAGGTAGATGATATTCTTGTGGTATCATCTTCAAAGAACACAACTGAAAACACAGCAAAAATCACAACCGGGGTTTGTTCTCTTCAACTTAAATTAATTATACTAACAAATACTGTATATAAGGCATTGCAAGAAGTATATCAGCCAAAACCGGTTTGGCTCAGTGGATAGAGTGTCAGCCTGTGGACTGAGAGGTCCCGGATTCGATTCCAGTCAAGGGCATGTACTTTGGTTGCAGGCACATACCCAGTAGGACGTGTGCAGAAGGCAGCTGATCGATGATTCTCTCTCATCAATGTTTCTAACTCTCTATCCCTCTCTCTTCCTCTCTGTAAAAAAATCAATAAAATGTATTTTTTTTTTAAAGAAGTATATCATCAAAATCACCACCTGGCTCTTCATTCTATTTTCATAATATACTGATCAGCACTAAAATACAATTTTAAATATAATAAACCCTATTAAATGACTTTCTTTTTCTCCCTCCAAAATATGTTAATAAACATTTGTTAAAATAGAACAGAATTCGCACCAAGTGCTTCTCCAGCTGGTCTGAAAGGTCCAGAAAAATAAAAAATAAGTAAAAATAAATAAAATGGAACAGAATTCAAGCTACATATGGATATCAATAATAGAGGCAACTTTATAAACATGAACAAGTTAATGAGTTTTAATCTGATTGTAATCTGTTTCTCCGAGTGCATCACCTGACTCAATGCTATGGCATTCAGGTGCTTAGTAAATATGTATTCAAGGCAGACGGTACAAATCATTTTTAAATCAGACTAACAAAGGTTAAGGAAAAAATTAATAGGAAGTTGAAAGCAATAGGTTTATTTAAAAAAAAAAAAAACCTACAAGATTATTCAAAAGACTTCCATATACCTATTATAATAATAAAAGGTCATGCTACCCAAATTCGAGTGTATATCATAGCACTCCCCTCCCCCCAGGACAGCTTATTTAGAATGCAGATTCTCAGTCACTTCACCACATCACCCCAAACTCAGTTGGAAGCCGTAAATCTATGTTTTTAAGGTTTAACAGGGTAAATCTGATCCAAATAGTAAAGAACATAGAGAGATATGGTAGTGATATACAGACTGAAAAAAGACATTTCTCTACTAAATTATTCCTTGGATAAATTGTTTATTTTATGTTCTAATAAAGTCTAAAAGCCAGAGATAACTATTTAATTGCAGAAAGACCTGTAAAACCTCAACAAATTAATTTTTTCCCTGAAAACTGCACTTCTTATAATAGACAGCCTATTGAACTCAATGAGACTGATACAATTATGACTAAATAAAATCTCAGTAGGTAGTCAGAGCTGAAACATTCTATATGAGTTTATAAAGCACATTGTGAGGAACAATTCACTAAGTCTGTATATCTAAAATATTTATTTGATCAAGGATAGATGATTAATTTATGACTATGAAATCTAATAAAAAAAACTGTACTATTCGCTAGCATTTACAATGAAAAGCACCAGCAGAAATCAACAATTTCTACCAAGAATGTTAAATCTGAAGCTTGGTAAATGTTTCCCAAAACTTGAAAACGACACTGCTCTTTCTTCCATGACTTAGTGAAATGGAATAATGAATTAAGAGTCCTGAGAATCTGAAGACAGCAAAAGAAAGAGCATTCTTGGAATCAACTCTGATGTGAATCTGCACAGAATGGACAAGAGTGGCCATCCACATCGAGGAATGGCCTGCCAGGGTGTTGAGAAAAATTTTTACATGTCAGAGACTCTTTTATGTGAACAGACCCCAGGGCCAAGATGTAAGTTCTTTAGAAATGTGGCTCAAGCCGAACGGTTTGGCTCAGTGGGTAGAGCGTCAGTCTGCGGACTGAAAGGTCCCGGGTTCGATTCCGGTCAAGGGCATGCACATTGGTTGCGGGCACATCCCCAGTAGGGGGTGTGCAAGAGGCAGCTGGTCGATGTTTCTCTCTCATCGATGTTTCTAGCTCTCTATCCTTCTCTCTTCCTCTGTAAAAAATCAATAAAATATATATTTTTTTAAATGTGGCTCAATATTTCCCTAAGTGCATCTTCATAGACACTAGTTTCACAACATGTAAGTTATGAGGACAAGCACGTTTGGAAGTGAAATAGATTTAGAAGTTACTGGATTAAAGAAAAATCCAACAATGCCCTTTAATGTTGGACTTCTCAGAGCCTTCAATCACTAACTCGTATGGTCTTCCTGAGGGAGAGTAACGGTTTGCGGTGCTTCTCAGCTGCAAAACACAGCAACTGGCAGGACTATAGCATCCCATGGAGCAGGGCTGGAACAACTAGTGGAACTTGAACTTAATTATACATGGGTGAGTATGTCTTCGAATTAATTGAAAGTGTTAAATGTGTTAGAAGAAATATGATGGATGCATCTAGTAAAACAGCAGTCTAAGCAAGGTATCAATGTTGATTCCTAACTTTTCAGGAGAAAATGCTCAGCCTCTTTGTTCCTAACTCTTTCTTTAAGAAGAAACATTAAGAGAAATGCAGGTCATCAGATTCTCATGGCTTATGGCAAATAATCCTTGGCATGACACAGCTTCATTTATTCCAAATCTCAACTAACAAAGTAACCTGAAAGAAAAAAACACCTAAATTTTATTCTCGTCAACAAATTTGCCCACTGGGAGGGAGTGCTGTGCACACAAGCTTGCGCAGGAATCTGTGGAGGCACCTGGAGCCCACCATGGGTAAGGGGCAGGGCGAAGGGGGAGGTCAGGAGAAGCAGTACAGCCCAAGGCCCTCCATCTCTGCTTTAATGCAGCACGGCCAATGTTACCTACGTCATAGGTTTTAGTTCACTGCTAGATTTCACTTGAAAAAGGTGCATTAACTATCAAACGAAAAACACTACAATAAGAACTGTCCCACTGTAAATCAATAAAGCATTATCATGCGGCATCTGCTACCTTTTGTAAGTTATAACAGCATGAGTTTGTCCCCTGGAACCTGAATTCACTCCATAATTATTCATAAAAATTGTGACACCATTTTATCTTTAATCACAAAAATAGTAAACGGTCCTGTCTTACTAACATGGTTTTTGAAAAATACTCTTCCAAGTCCTTCAAAACAGACCAAACAGTAAGAGCCAATCATTCTACTCATCCCACTCCCAGATTTCTTTACCATCAATTTCTTCAGTTCCCCTCCTCTCCTTTTCTAATCTCTCTGAATTATCACCTACTCTCCCCCGCCCCCCCCTTCAGAAGAAGGGTTCTTTCTGTACATCAAGGACATCTTCATGACTGGACTCTTCATCTCTTTGCTCCCAACCTTGTTTCATCTATCATCTGTTCTCTCCCTGGAGACAGTGGAAAGAGAGAGACTGAAAGCTTAACCAATTTCTATTTTAAAAAAATAAAATCTTCCTTGATCTTGATGTTTACTCCTTTCTCAGACTATCATCTCATCTCTCTTTGCTTCATCACTGGACTCCTCAAATTTACAGCTTCTGCTTATTATCTTCATTAACTTCAGATTCCCTAACACCTTACAATTTATCTTTGACTAAAATTTCGTTCCCAATTTGTATGTATAATAACAGTAGCCTGCATCAATAAATTACTGTGACTTTGATATATAAAGGAGGCAAAACAGAAGTTTGGGTACAAACAGTGAGTTGACTACTTACTATCTATGCCCCCTGGTGGTTGGGGGCTGGAGCAAGAGGACATTCCATTTCACACATACCCTTTTGTACCTTTTAATGTTATAGGTAGATAATTGCCTATTTGGAAAAAAAACAATTTTTGTTTTTGAACGCCCCCCCCTTTTTTTAATTTTAAAACTTATGGGCATCCTAAGAACAAAAGAAAGATTTTATATGTTTTATATTCAGAGTCTAAACTTGCTTTCTTTGCCTAAGGGGCTTTATGGTAGTTCTAAAGTTTTAACGGAAGAAAACAAGTTAAAATAAAATTTAATTCTAAGTCAATAATTTCTTATTAAGTCAATTTTTATTGGCAGTTAAATTCAATAGTTAATCCTATTTGGCAAAGGAAATGGAAGTGTCAACTAACAGGAGTAAAGAAAAGAGCATGTGGGAGAGGGACTTGGATAACTGGTCACTAGGATACAGTGAACATTATATTTTCTGCCCCAGATTTATAAAGCACATGAAGCACCCAGCTAAAGCCACTCACTGGTTATGCTTAACTTTCTTACCTTCTGAGGCTCTCCTTCTTCTCTTCACGGGACAAACAGCTGTCCAAGTGCTTATTGATGTGATCTTCTAGAATACTGACCCCACAGACAGGACATTCCACTGCATTTTTTTTTTTTTTAAGAAAGAAAGAAAGAAAGACTTTATAGCTTGTAAAATGGGCAAAATTATTATAGCATGGATTTTCAAAGATTAAGATAATAAACAGAATTCCAACATTACATGTATTTAGAAAAACAGAAAAGAAAAAGAATGACATCTCCAGGCAATCAGAGTGGGACAGACAGGTTACTGGGTAATGTCAGACAGGTTACAGGTTATTGGGGAAAGTCATATAATTCAAATCCTGGGCCTAGAAGAAGACTACAGAAAAGTGTGGAAATGTGTTTATTAGAAAATGCTTTGATTAAACCTTTTCTACCAAGATGTGACCAAACTATAAAACTAAACTTAGGTTTTCCCAATGCTTAGGAGGCATTCCTGCATGTTAGCTCTGAAGCAATCATAACACCTGAGGAAAACACACTTGGCTGGGGCAGGATAAAGGGGTGACGGTGCAGCTAGATCAAAGCATTTACTGGTTTAAGCCAATTACTGCTCAATTTATCAATGGCTACAAATTGGTTAATTTAGCTCTTGCTTGTAAGTTAAAATTAGGAAAACGCAATCATTCTCCAGCTATTTCTGGATTGTGGTGATGTGTGGTGGTGTCTGGGGGCCTAGTCGCCCCTCTGGGTAACAGGCAGGACGAAGGGGAAGAGCAGGTGGAGCAGCACATCTCTAAGGCAGCAGGGCCTATTGTATCTCTTCTGTCTCTTTTTCAAATTATGGTTCCTTGTAAGATTTCATTTGAAAAAATAATGTTGCTAAAGGAAACAATTAACTATCAAGCTATAAATACTACTATAAGAACTGTGAATTGACAGACTGACCAAATATAAAGTATGCTAGGAAATGCAGGTAAAATTCACAAACCCTTATGAATTTTAAATACTTGCATACTAATAAACTGTCAATCTAAATTTAATAACAACTAATCCTGCACCGTGTGTGCTATGAGTGTACCAAAGATGTCTAAGACCCAGCGTCCTCTAAACTTCACTGGCAAGAACAGACATGAAGCAATAGGTTAAACAAGCTGACCCACTCAACAAAAAGTTAAGCAAATTACACAGTCCAGAAAACATGTGCTGTCAGACTTTAGTGATATGAGCTATCAATATTATCTAACAAAACCAGAGTGGTTAGGCTCGAGATAGAGTCTAAAATGCTGCTTATTTATTCATCTGGAATGCGGATGAGAGGATTCCCACTGAGTCAGAAAATACACGTGAAAATCATTTCCTACCTTTGGTAACTTGTTTCAAAGTGGATGTAGAGGGTGTCTCCGGAACATTAGCATCCGCGATGCTTGGAGCTGTCCTTTCTAAAGGTGTCTCTTTGGTCTTTGCAGAACTGCTCACCGCTCTTTGAGAGCTGAATTTGTTTTCCTTCTCATTTATCAACAACTCTGACGTAGAACCATTAGTTTCTCTGATCAAGAAATTCTCCATTAACCTGCTTCCTTGCTTTACGGACTGTTTGAAGGCCACAGGAGTGTGGGCTTTGGCAGCAAGATGCTTTGAAGAGGCGGAAGCAGGAGAAATGGGCGGTGACTCTAAGGCAAACTGCAACAAATGATTCCTGTAAGCACAAAAAACACAGCGGGTAACTAAGATACCAAGTGATGTGTAGTAAGTTAACTACCATAAGCTGTTTTCCCAATTAACACTTATTTCTATGAAATACAGAACTTACTCCATAATGACAACCAAACCAAATTGTTTCTTCTAGAATAAAATAAATAAAAAATAATATATCTAACTTTAAAAATCTGTTAATCTATTTAAAAAATGGAGGGACTTCACATTCTGATGATGGAGAATAGCTAGTCTGAGAATTAAAGTCCAATCATAAATATCTTTAAAATCTGGATAAAATAAATATATAAAACAACTGTTTGTAAGCATGGGCTATAATCAACAGAAGGCTGGAATCCCTGCAAGAGAAACATGAGGTACTTCTCCCAACAATGTCCCCAGGGAGCAATTCCTGGGAGTTATATATTAAACTGAGTCAAACACAGACCAATGATCTCACTGGATGGAGGGAACAGAGACCACAGCTCTAGGGAAAGGTGGCTAGGATTGGAGGGACAGGCTGGTAGGCAGAGGTTAGCCATGGAAAGGGAACCCCAGAAGTCTGCTTAGAAAATGTTGTCAATTCCTGATCATCTCCAAGACTGCACAAGCATAAGAGGAACCAGGAGACACTGTGGGAAACAGATGCCAGGAAGCTGAGTTCCAAAGGTCAGTAGACACAGAGGCTGGAAAGCTGAGATTCTAAAGTTCAGCACTAGACAACTGTTGGGAGTTGGAGCCTAGTCAAAGCTGAGAGACCTCGGTGTAAGATCTTAGACATTCAGGTGTAACCCCACGAAGGCCACACATAGGAAGAAGGATCACACCCTAGAACTATAAGTAAAACTAAAATAGACCAAACCTAACAAACACTAAACCAGGCCCAGACAGTGAAGAGCTGGCAATTTAACTGCCTATCAGAACAAAAAATTCAACATCTTTCAAAGAAAAATAATTCACAGCCCCTATCATATTTTCACTCATAATGTTCAACATACAATTAAAAATTACTAGGCATGCAAATAAGCAAGCAAAGTAGCTAATAATCAAGAGAAGCAGATCCAGAAGTCATTCAAAGAGTAACTATGTCAAAGTAACTATGATGAATATGTTCAAGAAAAAAGATGAGAACATAACCAAATGGATAAAAAGATAGTGTCTTGTAAGAGGGAATTAAAATCCATCCCAGGAAGGAAAAAGGCGTATCATAATCAAACCACTGAAAAATAAAAAGTAATGAGGAAATTTTGTAAGTAACCAGAAAAAAACAAGACACAGCCTCTCAATCTTGGCACTATTGACATTTTGAGTCAGACAATTTTTTGTTGTAAGGAACTGTTCTGTGCATTGTAGGAAGGTTAGAAGCAACTACAGCATCCACCAAATGTCAGTAGCATATCTTCTTCCCAAACAGATTGAGACAATCAAAAGGCAAGGTGTCCCCCCAAAAAGTATACAAGCAATGTCTGTAGATTCTATTGCATTTTGAAAATGAAATGTATTTTAATAAATACTGCCTTTATAATTATTCAAAGTGTGTATATTTTTTGAGCACACTGCACATATGCTTACATTACCAAATGTCCCCTGGGGAGGGGCTAACAGGAAGGCAAAATCACTCTCAGGTAAGAGCCATTCATCTAAGGCTGTGGTCGGCAAACTGCGGCTCACGACTCACATGCAGCTCTTGGGCCCCTTGAGTGTGGTTCTTCCACAAAATACCATGGCCTGGGCAAGTCTATTTTGAAGAAGTGGCATTAGAAGATGTTTAAGTTTAAAAACTTTGGCTCTCAAAAGAAATTTAAATCGTTGTACTGTTGATATTTGGCTCTGTTGACTAATGAGTTTGCCAACCACTGATCTAAGGGAACAACAGGAAGAAATATCTTTGACTTCCCAGTACAGAATTATCTCAAAAAAATTAAAAATGGAACTGCCTTGTCCACTGATTCAACTTCCTGAGAATATATCCTAAGAAACCAAAAAGATGTTCCATGAAAACCTAACCAAAAGAAAGCTAATGTGGCAACATTTATAGCAGACAAAATAGACTTTACGGCAAAAAGTATTATGAGAGAAATGCAAATTAAATGACAATGAGATATCTTTGCCTTAAAGTTTATTTTGTCTGCTATTAAAACCACTATGCTACCATTTCACACAACAGAATACTTACAACTAAAAGGATTTGGAGCAACTGAAACTCCATACACTATTGGTGGGTTGTCCAACCCAATTAGAGCACTGTTGGACAATTTCTTTTTCTTCTTCTTTTTAATTTATTGATTAAGGTATCACATATTTGTCCTCATCCCCCCCATTCCCATCTCAAACCCCTCCACGAATGCCCCCAGCCCCCTGTTGTCTGAGACCACTGGTTAGGTTATATGCATGCATACAAGTCCTTTAGTTGATCTCTCCCCCTTACTCCCACCCTCCCCTACCTTCCCTCTGAGGTCCGACAGTCTGATCGATGCTTCCCTGTCTCCAGGTCTGTTCTTCATCATCATTCTATGTTGTTCATCATTTCCCCTAAATGAGTGAGCTCATGTGATACTAAATATACACTTATATGAACCAAAAATGAGACAAGCCTTAAAATGGTTATGCTGAGAGGCAAATGAATCAGTCTGTAGTGAGTTTCTTTCTGGGCCAACAGTTCTTCTGAGTCCCAATTTCTATGTCAAACAGTTCCTTATGTGTATATGTTAGCAATGATATTATATTTCAGTTTTGGATGGTGGACAAATGGTGGTAATGCAGGTCCGACCCACTCAACAATTTCTTATAAAGTTCAATATCCATCTACCCTGTAAGCCAGCAATTTCATTCCTAGATATATAGCTAAAATAAATGAAAAAAGATGCCTATACAAACACTGCTTACAAATGTTCCTGGCAACTTTTATCATACTAGCTATAAACAGTAGCAATCCAAATTCATCAATAGATAAATAATGAAACTGTGTATATTCACAATGAATACTATTCAGCAATAAAAAAATAATGAATACTGATACAAGCAATTGAGATGAATTTTACTTTATGAATATGCTAATTTCAATACTGCAATGATAAAATTATGGCAATGCTAAAATTAAAACTCATTCATTTCTTTATGTGCCCATCTCTAGACAGTGGAAATATAATTGGTACCAAAGTAGTCTCTGTCTTCATGAAGCTTACACTGCAGTAAAGGGAGAGAGAATAGACACACCAAATATACGTGAAAAATACTAGGGAAAGAAAAATGAGCTTCAGACTCCACAGGATGGTCACAGAAGACCTCATCGAGAAGATGACCCGTGAAAAATAGAGTCCAAAGCAAGTGGAGGACTAAACTACATGGATATCAGAGAAAACTGTTTCACTAAGAAATACTAGTAAGTCAAAGTCTCTAGGGTCAGAGTATGAATAACATGTTTGAGAAACAGCAAGAAGGCAGTGTGACTGGAGCTGAAAAAAAAGGGGGGAGAGAAGTCAGAGAAGAAGTCAGAGAGGGATCCTATTATGTAGGAAGCAGAAGACTACCATTGAGGACTCAGGCTTTCGCTTCCAATCAGATGGGAAGCCATCTCTGGATGGTACTGAGTGTGACCTGACTTTTTAGTGTAAAGGGTCACCATGGTGCTGTCCTCAGAACTGTAAGAGGGCAAAGAAGAAATCAGATCACTAGGAAATGATCACCGTAACCTCGACTGACACTGGTGGCATGGACAGAGTATTGGTAAGGTGATGAACAGCTGTCAGATTCTGCAAGTATTTTAAACACTTAGCCAACAGGATTTACTGGTGGAATGACAGATAAATATGAAAGAGAGAGATCAAGGATGACTCCAAGGTTTCTGGCCTGGGTAAACGAAAGAATGGAGCTGCCATTTACTGAGATGAGGAAGATTGTGGGAGCAGCAGGTGTGGAGTGGGGATTGGGGAGTGACATAGGGAGTTTGGAGTTTAGTTTTGGCCATGCTGTCAAGAGTTTCTTTCTTTCAAGAGGACCAATGTGAGATGTGAGATGAGCAGTTGGATATTTAAGGCTAAAGTTTTGGGAAGAGATCTAGCTGAAGATATAAACTTGGAAGCCATGTATGTACAAGTGATATTTAAAACCATGGTATTATTTATGGCAATTTACACAGCTTTCAAATGACTTGGGGCAGTGAACACACAATACAATATATAGATGATATGTTATAGAATGGTACACCTAAAACCTATATAACTTTATTAAATAATGTCTCCCCAACAAATTTAGAAAATAAAAATTTTTAAAAACATCAATCCTATTCTAACTCTTCAAAAAAAAAAAAATAATGAGAACACTTTATTTATTTAATAATGAGGACAACATTCTATGGTGCCAGCAGCATCCTAATACCAAAGCCAGAGAAAGATTCCATAAGAAAATTATAGATCAATATTCCTTATGAGTACAGATACAAAAATCCTCAACAAAATATGACTAAACCATATCTGATGGCACATTAAAAAGGATTACACACTATGACCAAATGGAATTTACCCTAGAAATGCAAGGGTGTTTTAGTACAGAGAAATCAAAGTATACATACAGATACTAACAGAAGTAAGGAGAACCACCACATGATCATCTCCATAGATGCAAAAAAGCACCTGACAAAACTTCAACACCCCTCACGACAAAGACACTCGGCAAATTAAGAGTAGAAGGATAGCATGGCCGGTGTGGCTCAATGGCTGAGCGTCGACCTATGAACCAGGCAATGGTTTGATTCCAGGTGAGGGCACATGCCTGGGTTGTGGGCTCATTCCCCAGTGGGGGCCATGCAGGAGGTAGCTGATCAATAATTCTCTCTCATCATTGATATTTCTCTCTCCCTCTCCCTTCCTCCCTGAAATAAAAATTTTAAAAAAGTAGAATAGCCTTTTCAAGCAAATGTTGCTAAAACAATTGGATATCTATATGCAAAAATTATCAACTTGAACCCATAACCTTCTAATACATATAAAATTACGATATATGATTCTACTTATATAAAAACCTAGAAAATGCAACTATAGTTAACAGATTAGTGTTTGTTTGGGAAATAGAGCTGTGAGGGTCAGGAGAGAGAGATCACAAAAACTTTTGTGGGTGATGGATAGGTTCATTACTTTGGTTGTGATAGTTCCATAGGAACCATTATCAAGACTTAGCCAATTGCACACTTTAAATACATACAGCTTATTGTATGTTAACTATATTTCAATAAAGCTTTAAAATATTTTTAAATGAGCTATGTAAAAATATTAATTTCAAAACTGTTATTTAGATTTAAATTGAATTGGTAATTTTTCCTATAATTTCCATCACTGTGATGAATACATATTAAAGTGAGTTGGTATTACAATGCCTAAAGGCATTAGTTATCAACACACATTTTTTTGGATGAATTATGGACTTTAGAATATTAAATCTTGCCCATTTGTTAACTATATACTACCTTATCTCCTCAGAAGGCAGCTAAGAAGAATCAAGATTCAAAATAGGTCTAAGGGTGGACAAGGGCAATCCTGAAATCCATGCAATCAAGCCCGTGGACTTCAGTAACTAGTGAAATTCACTGCAAGTGCCTGTTCTGATTTGAAACATGCAAACAGCAATCTAGGACCATTTAGTTAGATGGGCAGAGGCCCACCACAGCATCAATTCTTATTAGCACCTTAGGGCATAAACATGTAATAGGATAGCACTATATTAACAGAGGTACAATATATATGATAATAGGGATGTTTGTAGGTTCCTTTATTCCAAGTACTATCCTGAGTATCATTTTGTATTATTCTTCATTTCTAATTCTTACAACAATCTCTCAAAGTATCAACAATATTGTTCCCACCTTTCAGATGTGAAACAGTGGTCAAAAAGGTTCAACATCTCGATCACATTCACATCAGAACTAGCAGGGCCAAGACTGGAATCTACTACTTTAAATTTCACCATAAGAAGCTGAGACCGGTTTGGCTCAATGGATAGAGCATCGGCTTGGGGACTGAAGGGTCCCGGGTTCGATTCCGGTCAACAACATGTACCTTGATTGCGGACATATCCCTAGTAGGGGGTGTGCAAGAGGCAGCTGATCGATGACTCTCTCTCATCGATGCTTCTAGCTCTCTATCTCTCTCTCTTCCTCTCTGTACACAATCAATAAAATATATTTTAAAATAAATAAATAAATAAATTTCACCATAAGAAAAGATAAAATTATATTCTACATACTTTTGTGAGATGCCAAGGGATTTATCTATCACAGTTATAATCTAAAATGTTCAACTTCTTAAACGTGGAGTAAATACATGGAGAAAAATCCAGACCTCGATGGTGAATAAACCAAAGTATTAAATTATGTTCTACTCTCTCAATTCATAAAAATAATGATATAGATGTAGACTGGCTGCTATGCAAAAATACAGAAACAGTATTTTCTTACTTAGATCAAGAATGACATTCTACTAAGACAAACATATCTTAATTAAATTTTGTTCAACACACAGTTTCTTAAGGCCATTATTTTAAATAAAATTGAGTTGAGAAAAAAGAACAACACTGTTCTTTAAAATAAAAGGCAATAGAAGAAAATGTAAGATGTGCATGTCAGCCTGTGTCTGAAACCTCTAGAATTATTTCCAATACCCTTTTGTTATCCCATTTAGAATATTAAAGTTTTAAAAATTATGTCATAAAATGGCAATGAAAAGTCAGGAAGAAACAAAATCAACAAACAATATAAATCTCTTACATTTTTGTCATAAAAGTAAACCTCTTCCCTTGCCAATCATAAACCAGATTTTAAATAATGAAATTAGCTTGAATTTCATTCCTAATTTTGCAAATGAGATACCACAGTGCTTTAGACATGACAAATGTCAGAGGAATGTTCACCATAAGGCCACTCCAAGGCTAACAAAAGAAGTCAATGATAAAAACCACCCCAAATCTACAGAGAACACTTCCCACTCCACCACACCCTCTATAATGAATAATTAAATAACCTACTCCTTTTGGGAGGGAGGAAGGGGAGAGTTCAGTCATTCCAAGGCTTCCTTTTAAGTTACCAAAAGGTCTGTGAACCCAAAGATACTGATCGCTTCTCTTCTATAACACTCCCTTTTTCTTAGCAGGGAGGTTATTGTGTTCAGTACCAGCAGAAGAGGAAAAAATAAGCCTGAAATACAATTATACTCTCTCAAAAATTCCTTCCTAAGATATGACTCCATCTTTTCTCACAGGCTTCAAAATCAAACTGACTGAAAGACTTTAAAATTAAAAAAAGCAATTAACTTTGTTTATGAGAATCAGAGAATCTCAGAGTTTCTTCATCCAGTAAAGCTTACCACCTTTTTATGATTTTTCTTAGGGAGATAACTAACCAGCCAATTTCTAGAATGTTATACTTGTAAGTGCAAAATATTAAATTTGATCATTTTTTAGGATCAATCATTATGCAATTCTACTGGAAGAAATCTCTTTACATTTTTAGATGCAATGTAATGTACACCCAAGAATGCTCCAAAAGACTGACAGTCATACACTAAGTACATACCTTTAACTAAACAGTTTGTTTATTCTTAATAAAAAGTCCTACTTGACTTGCATGATTTAAACTAAAAATAATTCAAGATGCCGTTTGATAAAACATGCTTTTTTATATCCCTTTAGGTGACCAAACTCACCATAACCATCATGCATATCAGTTAAGAAGAAAAGCTACATTTCTGACTTTTATGAAGTGGTTAATACATATTTCACATGGCACATCATTTTATACATGCTAAGAAAATCAGATTAAGAATAAATGGATTAATATGTGATAGACACAGAAACAATTATAGATGTATGTGCATACATAGATTAGTAAATACATAAATATACATGCACATGTTGCCCAACTGTCTATGGAGAGGGCCTAGAAGCAAGAACAACCCAGTAACAATGAGCACAGCCCACTCTAGATCCTGATTTCTAAACACCATTCTATATATTAAAAGGTAATATGACCCTAATAGCAGAATGACCAGTCGCTATGATGTGCACTGACCACCGGGGGCAGCTCCTGCGTTGAGTGTCTGCCCCCTGGTGGTCAGTGCACTCCCACAGGGGGAGCTCCACTTAGTCACAAGCCGGGCTGACAGCTATGAGCGAAGAGGCAGTGGCAGGAGCCTCTCCCGCTTCCTCAGCAGCACTAAGGATGTCCAAATGACAGCTTAGGCCTGCTCCCTTGGGAAGGTGGACATCCCTTAAGGGATCTTGGACTGCAAAAGGACACAGGCCGGGCTGAGAGATCCCGCCCCTTCCAGTGCATGAATTTTCATGCACTGGGCCTCTAGTCTCCAATAAAAGGAACCAGGGCTCCTTGGGAAATGGTTGACTCTAGGCCTGAGGCAGGAAAAATAAAAAATGAAACTGGAGTATCTTTGTAGTACCCAAAAGTAAGTGCATGCTCAAATCTGCATTTTAACTCTTGTTTTTTATAACAGGTAGATTTCTGTTAAGTAAAGGGAGAAAATTCCATTATAATTAAATGATCTATGCTTGATAAATAACTACTGTTGCCTCCCTACTTTACCCCAAATACACAACCCTGCCTTCTCTAATCCCCAAAAGTGCAGAGAAAAAAGGGGACACAAATAAAAACAAAAGTAGTTAGGGGTTAGTCACAAAGTCAAATCATACCGTGCAAAATTCAAGCTTTTTACCAGTTCATCCAATGCACGGTTATTTTTCAGGTCCGGCTCTGTGACTGTCTAAAAAAGAAAAACAACAGATGGAAAAAAGTCATAAGCAATAACTTACTTGTCATGATCTTGTTTTTTAAAATGTGTGACCCATCCTCTCAAGACTCCCCATCTCATTAAGTCTTCCAGAAAAGCCTCAAAATAAAGTTTATTTATCTCACACTAATATGCTATTTAAAAACTCTGAGTCAGTATCAGCCAACTGGAAGTCTGATAAAAGTTCTCTAATGCATATGGTAAAGTCATATATACTTTGTACTAAGGTAAAACCTAATATGAGTGAGGATGCCAACACTCACCTTTACCAAACATTTCTCCCAAAGAACAGAAGAGATGCTCTCTTAAAAACAAGATTGGTTTTTAGGAATGCAAGATGAAAATGGTAAATCCAGTAGTTATTTAGCATAAATGACATACAGTTCATCTCTGTGATAATACTATCTTGACAAAGACAGGATGGATGCCTGATGTTTTAAGAGTTTAGACTCGAGAAACAAACTGTCATTTCTGACCCAGGGTCTTTACATAATAGCTCAGAGAAGTTCAATGGCATCCTCACACCATGAACCTAACAGAACGAGAACCCAACCCTTTAACTAGGCCAAGTGTCTTTGCTGTTAGGCCTTACTATCTCTTTTTCTTCTTTCTTTACTCCTATTAATGTCTACTTTCCCTTTTAACCTATCTTTTCATCTAGTTGCACTACTTGAAAAGCTTCAGAAACCACTAACAAAACGAACAACAAGTTTCCTGAAGGTCTGCTTTGGGAAAGAGGTAAGGGACCAGTTAGGCTGGGTTCAGCCCAGTGGCCATGAATCTTTGCCTCCTGCACAAATACTTACACAATCACTTAAAAAAAATAATCCTACCATCAGATTTCCTATCAATGTGAGAATAACAAGTGAAAAGCCATAAAAACATGGGTCTTAACATTTTATGAGTGCTACATTCTGGCCTTAAAATTAGTTTTTCCTCCTAAAATATATTTAGGTCATCAGAAGTCCCCATAAAAACTTGAACAAAGCACAGTTCTCCATATATGTGTTTTAGAGGTTCTTTCTCTTAAAATGTCTTTTTTACAGCTCAATTCAATAATTACATATCTACCCTTGGGCTTCTGCGCACACATGAAGCAGAAATATTTGCACCTCTGAATTAAGTTTTTTTAAAAACAAAAAAAGGAAAGAACAACTCACCACACAACAAGTTGGACACTGTGTTTTATAGGACAAAAATTTTCTTATACAGAGAGAACAGTCTGCAAAAACATAAATGCAACATAAATTAGTTAAGCTATATTAATAAAACAGGAATCTGACTTCTAACAAAATCTGACTTAAGATGTAGAGTATTCCCATCATCTAAGGAAGTGGTCGCCAATTGGTGGTCTGCGGACTACTGGTGGTCCATGAGGTCTGAAAGTTTGGTGACTACTGATAAGGTATCTATATATATAAAAGCCTAAGTGACCATTACGACCAAACAACCGAACGACTGGTTGACCAGTTACTATGATGAGCAATGGCCATAAGGGGGCAGATGCTCAACACAGGAGCTGCCCCCTGGTGGTCAGTGTGCTCCCACAGCCAACCTCCTGTGGCCAGCCAAACTCCCACAGCCCTTCTCCCGGTCCCTCCCACTGCCCAGCCAGCCCCCGGAATACCCCAATTGGGAGTGAGCAGGTGGCCAGCCAAAGGGAGGGGCCGCAGGAGGTTGGCTGGCTGGCCCCTGACAGGCCTCAATCACTGGCCAGACTGAGGGACCACCACCTGTGCACAAATTCATGCACCGTACCTCTAGTATCATTATAATATCAAAATTCTAGCATCTCTATCCTACCCATGCATAATTGCAAATGTGATTAAGTAGCACTTTTAGGAGAGAGAAGCATCTACACTAATAAAAGAGAAACATGCAAACTGACCGTATCTCCACTATGCCCCACCAGCCACGCCCACCAGCCAATTAGGAGCGAGTATGCAAATTAACCCAAACAAGATGGCTGTGGCCGCAGAGCAAGCAGGAGGCTTGGGTTTCCCTGGCAATGGAGGAAGCCAAGCTTCCTGGCCTGCCCTGGCCTCTACTCAAGGCTACAAAGTTTCAATTATAGAAGATAAATAAATCCCAGATATCAGGGCCTCCGCTTGGGTCACCGGGGGGCATGGCTGGCCTGCAAACCACCACAGGCCCCTCACCCAGACCGCCCCATGCCCCAAGGGAACCCCTACCCTGATCAGGACACCCTTCAGGGCAAACCAGCTGGTCTCCACCAGTGCACCAGGCCTCTATCCTATCTAATAAAAGAGTAATATGCAGATTGACCATCACTCCAACACACAAGATAGCTGCCCCCATGTGGTCAAAGATGGCTGCCCCTATGTGGACACAAGATGACCACCACAAGATGACCAGCAGGGAAGGGCAGTTGGGAGGGACCAGGCCTGCAAGGGAGGGCAGTTGGGGGCAATCAAGCCTGCAGGGGAGGGCAGTTAGAGGTGACCAGACCAGCAGAGAAGGGAAGTTGGGGTGACCAGGCCTGCAGGGAAGGGCAGGTGGGGGGACCCAGGCCTGCAGGGAAGGGCAGGTGGGGGGACCCAGGCCTGCAGGAAAGGGCAGTTGGGGGGAACCAGGCCTGCAGGGGAGGGCAGTTGAGGGTGACCAGGCCTGCAGGGGAGGGCAGTTAGGGATGACCAGGCCTGCAAGGGATGGCAATTAGGGGCAAACAGCAGCCTGTTTGGGGAGCGGTTAGGGATCAATCAGGCTGGCAGGGAAGTGGTTAGGGACAATCAGGAAGGCAGGCAGGCGAGCAGTCAGGAGTCAGCAGTCTTGGATTGGAGAGGGTGCAGGCTGGGCTGAAGAGCACCCACCATCTCTCCCCTCCTCCCCTCGTGCATGAATTTCATGCATGGGGCCTCTAGTGGGTTATTAAAAATATAAAACAAGCCAAGTTAAGTTCTTTGGGAAGAAAAGGTGAATAAAGGGGACTTCTGGTTTCTGGTCTGGCATGTAAGGAGCGCAGAAATCATAACTCTATCTAACAACAAGAAAAAGACTATACAGACTGAAAAACCAACAATTCTTCTTGGATACACCAGAGAAGTGAGGTCACAGGGCAAACTGCCCCCAAATTGGAGACATCAGGCTGGAAATAGAATCATAACTTACCAGAGTAGAAACCCATACTCAGAAACTTGCATGGGAACCGGAGCTGGGGTAAAACCTGAACTGCAACTGACAAATGGTATGGACAGTCTGAGTTTAAAAATTCTAAGGCAACACAAATACTGGAGAGCGGGGTGAGAGTGAGGAGGGGCTCACACTTACGGGTTTTCATTCCAAGAGTTCTACCAGGTTCTCAAAGTTTCTATCAGACAAAAATCCCCTAATCCTTCTGCAGGAGGAGTGGAAAAGTAGTTTTTTTGAAATGGACCCGAGCACTGGGTTCTTCTTAACAAGGCCTGCCCTCAAGAAACTGTTCTACCAGGGGCTATTCTGTTAGGCTTTATCAGAGCCCAGCTGACCTGGGGGAAGAGAAACAACCAACTCCACTACTTCTAGCTGTCCCGTCCACCTGTGGAAGTTGGAATTGGGGGGGGGGGGGGGGGAAGAACTGAAAAACATGTTAAGTGCAAAGTCCAAGGGCACATGCTGACCAAAAGGCTGAGACCCAATCACAGGACTACAGAACACACCTCACCACATTACTACAGGCCTATTTTCTGAAGTTTCTTTTACCTAGTACACCACATCCATAAATACACCACATAATTAGGGGGAAATTATGAGGCATACCAAAAGGAAAAAAAAAAAGTTTGAAGGAACTGTAAGCATGAGAACCAGTCAAATATGGCAGGGATGTTGGAATTATAAGACCAGAGATGTAGAACAACTATAATTAATATGCCAAGGGCTCTAATGAACAACCCAGATCAGATGGTAATATAAGTACATTACCTCCCAAAAGTCCCATCTCCAAATACCATCACTTTGGGAATTAGAGCTTCATCATAGGAATTTGGGGAAAACACAATTCAATCCACACATTGTACTACTTGTCCTCAAAAATCCGTGTCCTGCCGTGGAAAACATCTGCCATTTCACCAGCCCAAGGGGGCCGTGAGCGTTAACAAAAGAAAGCTGGGCAACTTGCAGTGCTCCAAAACACACAGGACAGCAGCCAGAGGCCAGCCCAGCTCAGCGGCTTCTCCTTTGGGGGAAGAGGGTAGCATGCACCCAATAGTTCAACTTTCCAATGGGCTCCTGAGGGACTGGCCTCTGTCTCCCGCACTTGCAATGCTGATAGGATGGGGCTCACTCCAGATGCCTGGGGGCCACTAGGATCAGAAGAGAGCAGAGTAGCTCATTATAGCTCCACAGGTCCTGCAGCACCACAGATGGAGAGGAAGCAAGAGATTACAAACGAATGAAAAAAAAAAACAACAACAACAACAACAACAACAAAGAACAGCACAATGTCTCATTGAGAATTTACACTCACAAGTCCAGAGACTACACATCCACAGAAAAGGTTTGAAGACACCCCAGAATCTCTAGCTGGGCTGACCAATGAAGGTCTTTCCTTAAATGAAGGCAGTTTGTAAAAACTGTGATATGTGGCCACTGAGAAAGTAGTTTTAATTTTATTTAACTTTAATTAGTTGTAATTAAAATGTAAGTAACCACAAATGGCCACATTTAGCTATGGTACTAAACAGTATAGGTCTAAATAGTCCAAGTAAAAACAGATATTGCCAAACTGCATTACAGGGCAACACCCAAATATAAGTTGTTTATAGAAAGCTATTTCTTAAATATAAAGAAACACATAGGTTAGAAGTAAAGGATGGAAAAAGCTAAACCATGCAAATACTGATCTTTACGAAGTGGGAGTGGCTACATGAGTATCAGAAAAAAAGGCAAACTTCAGAACAAGGAATATTACTAAGGATAAAGAAAACCATTTCATGATAACAAAATGGAAAATTGATCAAGTAGAAAAACAATCATAAATAGGTATACATGTAATAAAAACACTTCAAAATACATAAAGCAAAATCTGATAGAAATGAAATGATAATAAATAAATCCACAATTATAATCAAGGATTTCAACTCTCCTCTCTCAGTATTGATAAAAAAGAGGAAGAGAGACCATAGAGACACAGAAAATTTAAGAGCACTATCAACATATTTGACCTAATTGACATTTATAGAACAATCTACCTATCTACAGAACATTTAAGTATACATGAAACATGAACAAAGAAATTACCATATGCTGTGTCAAAAACTAGTCTCATTTTTTAAAAATATATTTTATTGATTTTTTACAGAGAGGAAGAGAGAGGGATAGAGGGTTAGACAGAAACATCGATGAGAGAGAATCATCAATCAGCTGCCTCTTGCACACCCCCTACTGGGTATGTGCCCTTGATCGGAATCGAACCTGGAACCCTTCGTTCTGTCCACTGAGCCAAACCGGTTTCGGCAAGTCTCATTTCTTTAAACTGAGACTGAAGGCTCCTGGGCTCGATTCCGGTAAAGGGCACGTACCTCGGTTGCAGGCTCGATCCCTGGCACTCACTAGGGCCCGTGTGGGAGGCAACCAATCCATGTGTCTCTCTTACATTGATGTTTCTATCTTGTCTCTCTCTCTCTCTCCCTTTCACTCTCTAAAAATCAATGGGAAAAAAAATATCTTGGGATGAGGATTAACAGTAACAACAAAAGTGAATTTAGAAAGATCACAAGATAAAAGGCCAATATAAAAAGCTATATTTCTATGTGCGAGGCCTGTGCACTGGAAACTAAACAATGTTGTGGGAGAGATGAAAGAAAAGCTAAAGAATGGAAGAATATGCCATATTCCTATACTGAAGACTCAACACTATTAAGATGACACTTCTCCCCACATGGAGTTCTAGATTCAGTGCAATCCAAATGCACAACCCAGTAGGCTTTTTTGATAGAAATTTGCAATCTGATTCTAAAATTTATCTGAAAATGCATGTAAAATGTAAAGATCCTAGAAGAACCCAAATAATTTTGACAAAGAAAAACAAAGCAGGAATACTTTCAATGACTGACTTTAAGACTTTCTAAAAGTTACAGATATTAAGACAAGGTGGCATTGGCCCAAGAACAGACATGAACAGAAGAAGAGTTCAAAAACAGGCCCATGTGTGATTGCCTACAACCGTACTGAGATGGGGAGAACTTGATCAGGTGACAGAAATGTTCTGTATCTTAAGTGAAGTGGTTTCATGATATATGCATTTGTCAAAACTCACTAACACCTGTACACTTTACTATGCACTTACAATGGATGTATTTTATTTTATGTAAATTATACCTAAATAAGGATGCCTTTAACACATATTAGAAACAATCCCCAAAATTTACCTTGGTTATTAATGTGAATCTGGCCTAGAAAGAAAACTGACATTTACTAAAGGCCTATCATGTGCCAGACACTGGTCTCTGCACATTTAATTCTCACAACCCTCTTCTAAGGTAGGAAATGCTCTCCAGATTTTTACTTTTGAATAAATGTTGGGCATTTGCAAACTCACCATCCCAGTAAGTATGGAGTCAAAAGTCAAGCCCAAGTATGTCTCTAATGCCCATGCTACTTCCACCAGCATCCTCTAAGTCTTCTCTATAGAAACTTTCCCACCAAAACTTACTAAAACTTTCCCACCAAAACCATTTTTTTAAGTCAAACTTGTTTTTTGTTTTGTTTTGTTTTGTTTTTAAATAAATTTTTTATTTTAGAGAGTAAGGGAGAGGGAAAGATAAAAACATCAATGATGAGAGAGGATCACTGATCGGCTGCCTCCTGCATGCCCCCTACTGGGGATCAAGTTTGCAACCCAGGCCTTTGACCAGAAGCAAACCAGGGACCCTTCAGTCCGCAGGCCAAAGCTGTATCCACTGAGCCAATCAGCTAGGGCTCAAACTTGCTTGTTTATTAACTTTCCATGACAAACCAACTTGAAAAACAGAGGACAGAAAGATCATGAACTTGGATAATCCATAAACTGGATAGCCAGCTCCTGAACAATGACAGGCTCACCTGTGTGCTAAATACCTCAAGTATAAAAAGCATTTACATACTAGACTCATAAAGAGAAGTTCAAACACGTTCCAATATTAAGAGTCTGTTCAGCATCACACAGCAAGTTAAGTGATAAAATGGTAATAGTCTTCAGTGGCAGAATTCTCCCACTGAAATTATTAAACTTTGGAATGCTACACAAACTATTACTTAGTTGAACTAACTATCTTTTATCCTGCTAAAAACAAAAATTAAAAAATTTAACATTCTAAAAGTGCTTGGTAAATAAAGAACCATGCATTGTGGCCAAAATCTTTATTGTCATAAATACTATAAAAGGCATAAAAATAACCAAGCAGGAAGTAATAGAAAATATAGGAGGTTTTGTAAAACTTCAATATTCAAGAGGAAATGGTGAAAAAGACCTGAGAACTTCAAGATAGAACTAAAAGTGAGAAATAAATGTATACATATCTTTGATGTTAAATTAATACTATTTTATAAGGTCCCTATTCAGAGTATGCTGGATGTCCAAGGCCACCTGAGCATGAGAATCTTAATCAGGGTATCCAAGGACTATACACAGGTGCGAGCAAGGCCACAGTAATCTGTATGTACACTGCGCAAGCGTGCCCTTCTATAACCCAAAAGACTGAGGTCACTATTTGGAAAGAAGTAATAGAAAGGATGTCACTGACCAGCTCAGATGCGGCTGCTTGGTGAGGATGCTCCCATGTAAGGCAGGCTGCTGCTATGTGGGGCTGCACTGCTGACCAGCAGGCTGCTGCTGTGGGTACAGAGGCTACTGCTACTGCGTGGGAAAGATGTATTGTTACCTTGCCTATGTGTGTCTACTGAATGGGACTTTGCTTTGAAGGAACTATTTTGTCTAATAGCTCCTTGTTAGCAATGGCTACATGGCACTGGCTTCTGCAATACTCTCTTCTATACCCACAACTTCTCATGGCTTCTCCGTCTCTGAATACCCAGCATTCAAGAAGGTCCAGTCACTGGCAGAGGGGCTTGAACCTGACACTAATTACATAAAAATCACATTTTTACTAATTCACAGAAACAGTATATACTTACAGTTATGTGAACACTGAGGAATCATCATTGCTATGTTGAAATATTCAAAGCAAATTCCACACCGTAGCAAATCATCAACTGTCTGAAATGCAAATAATACACATAATACATATATGTATCAAAAAGACACCCACATTGGAATGTCCAGCACAGAACTCTTTCTACACCCCTAAAAAAATAACTTAGTAATACTTATTTGTCAAATATACAAACTTCACATAACTGCAGGAGATCTTAACAAATAGAGAAAAACCTCCGCCCATGTGACTCTTACACATTCAAAACACTTTCGACAGATCAAGCTGACAGTGTACAGATTTTTACACATTATCGTTACTTCTTCACAAAAGGACTGCTACTCTATTCCTTCCCCACTTCCCACACATTCCCAGTTTGTACTCCAATCCACCTCTTCTTCAGACCACATCCCCTGGCCTACAGTCACTGCTAAGGGAAAGGTAACAGTAGCCAGTTAGCATAAAGGTTAAAACCAAGTCAGAGAATATTAAAGCCAAACATTAGAAATTATCTAGTTAAACCCCTTACTTTACACCCGAGGAAATTAGTATCTAGAGCAGGCACATATATGGGACATGAGTCCAGCCAGGACTAAACTTGCTGTCTCACTACTGGCTTCTGCATGGTTCCACAATGGAGCCAAACAAAGGAGGGAGACCAGGACCGGTGACAGCAGAGGGAGGTGAAGTGGACAATCTGGAAGTCCGACAGATATATGTCAACCTGGAATGCAACCAAAAAGGATCTACTCTCACAATCCCAAATCTTTAAATCATTTAAAATAAAATGTTTTTCAGTAGAATACTGAGAAAACAGTTAAAAGACCCAAAAGAAGAAGCTCTCTTATGCCCTGATACAGAGGGATTGTCAAGATAAGTGAAAAAAGACAGTACATATAACTACCTTTTGCTTAAAAGGCAGGGGAGAATAAGAATGTATTCTATTTTTATCTTGTATGCAGGTATAAAGAAATTCTGAAAAGATACAGAAGACAGAAAAAGGTAATAAATAATAATCACAGGAGTTAGAAAACTGGATAGGAGAGGGACATGTTGGGAGATAGACTTTTACTTTTCATTCCATGTATTTTTTTAACCATGTGAGCATATCAAAATTAAAAAAAAAAAAAACACAAATGAAAAGACTAATGTCACTAATAGTACATATGATGAAATATTATGTAGCCATTTAAAATATATATACTTTTAAAGAAAAATGCCTAGTGGCTCCTTGTTTTATGTAAATTATACATGTTCATGTTTTAATGGATACTGGGGAAAAAATGCATCAGAGAACAAATCTATAACAATAATAAAAACAGAACCATGTAGTTTAATCTCCATAACAATCCAATGAGGTCTACAGCATCTGAATCCCAGCCTTGCAGACTCAGACTACAGAGCTTAAAAGCGGCTGGATCAAACACAAGAAGTTCACCCCAAAGTAATCCCAAATTTTAAATGCATTTCCACATTGTGGGCATGAGCACACACACGGTAAACGGACCAGAAATAAGAGAAGACGTCAAACAGTAGTTATCTCTAGATCAGCAGTCGCCAACCTTTCAGACCTCACAGACCACCAATGGTCCGCAGACCACAGGTTGGCGACCACTGCCCTAGACAATAGGATAATGGGTAACTCATTTAGTCCTTTCTTTTATCCTGGAGTTTAATTTTTTTTCTATTGTATACACATACATTTATAAACTGCCAAAGCCAGAAATTTTTGTTACTGTCAACCTAGGGAAATAAACATTAAAATACCAAAAACTTTCATTTTATATAGTAAGCTACCATTGACTCAAAAAGCAAGAGGACTGCCCTGGCTGGTTTGGTTCAGTGGATAGAGCATCAGCCTGCAGACTGAAGGGTCTCAGGTTCGATTCTGGTTCAAGGGTATATACCTTGTTTGCTGCACATCCCCAGTAGAGGGCATGCAGGAGGCAGCTGATCGATGTTTCTAACTTTCTATGCCTCTCCCTTCCTCTCTGTAAAAAAAAAAAAAAATCAATAATTTTTTTTAAGAGGATTGCATTGAAAATCGATTAAGAGCAGAAGAGAACTGGAAGACAGAGCCCTGCCATCTAGTCTATTGTAATTTCTTCCCTATAACTATCCACTTCCGGTGGAGGAGTGGTTCTAACAGGTCTGCTGAGCAAGATCTGTGGAAGGTGATACCACATCAAAGGAGTTGTTATATAACACTAGTGGCCTGGGGCATCAATTCTTGCACATTGAAAGGGTGGGAGTCTGATGGCCTGGGGGGGACCAAGAGCTTGGCCATTCCAGCCAGCTTACCAGCCCCACCCCTGGCACAGGTCTTGCTGGGTGTGTAGCGGGTGACAGGTGAGGCAAGGGCCTTGGCCTAGTGCTGCCCACATATTCCCTCCCTCCCCACATCCACTCCAGGTCCCTGTTTGCCATTGGCAATCAAAGCCTGCAGGCCAGGGAAAGGGACCAAGAGGTGGTCGTGCTCGGTGCACCTCATAGTAACTGGTAGAGCAGTTGTTCTGGTCATTCTGCCATTATGGTTGCTGGGCTTTTATTTTCTTTTAAAATATTTTTTTTATTGATTTCAGAGAGGAAGAAAGAAGGAGAGAGAGAGAGAAACATCAATGATGAGAGAGAATCATTGCTTCCTACAAGCCCCCAACAGGGGATTGAGCCCACAACCTGGGCATGTGCCCTTGACCAGAATCAAACCTGGGACCTTTCAGTTTGTAGGCAGACCCTCTATCCACTGAGCCAAACCGGCTAGGGATGGGCTTTTATTATATAGGGTATGCTCAAATTTACAAACAAAAGGTAGCCTTACAGGTTACAGAACTTTCACTTCCTTTATTCAATTATATCTTCACAACAACAAATAAAAAGGGGTTGAAACGTTAACATACGTTAAATACTAATAAGATGCATCAACTGAATGTTTGAGTTCCAGATACCTTCAATCAACTGGCAAATAATTTTTGAGCACCCACTACATGCCACGCATTAAGTACAGTGACAAAGTCAGACAGGGTCACTATCACACACATCACCTCATTTAACCAACCCTACAAGCTGTTTATTTCAGCCTCCAGTTTATAGTTGAGGAAGTTCAGGTCAGAGTTTTAGTAACTATAATAACTCAAGGTCACAAAGTTCAATGAGAGGCCAAAATCAGTCTTAACCCAGGACCACCCATTTCTGCACCATGTCCTGTTAAACCATAGCAGTTCAAGTGTTTGTTTACTCTCCAAATTGATGTCTAATTGCTTTCCACCTTAAAGATTTTAGTTGTTCTGCTTGCATTACAGAAATTGATCACCTTGGAACATATATAAAACTATTTCTTAGCATTTATATTTGGGCTATGCTCTTGCGAATGGGCCTAATTGCCTTAACTCAGATCTGTGCTCTACTCCACTGTGCGTGAACACCAAAGCCACCATAACTGAAAACCACAGCTTTCCTAGCTCCTTTCCACAATGTCAGCTTTCACCATGGGGCTAATCTCCACTCCCCAAGGACTGTAGATGACACTGTTGACCACAGGAAGAATAGGTTCACACTTACTTTAACCTCCCACAAATCCCTTCACTTAATCCTCAGATCCGCCTTCTGAGTCAGTGGGGCAGATACCATAATCCTCAAGGAAACAAAACCCAGGAAGAGAAAGAGAAAGTGATCTTTCCCGCGGGGAGAAAAACCAAGCAACTGATTCTTAGCACAGCAAAACGTATTTGCTCTTGACCAAATCAAGCAGGAATCCTGGGCTCAGCACCACCGAAATGCCTTACCAAAAACCCAAATCATGAGCGACATGATTCCATTAGGTGAAAGGCTGACTAATGCTGAGCCTGAGTCCTGATCTCTTTGTTTAAAAGAGACACATGCACAACTGTTAGGAGTTAGGACATGTTAGGAAGGAGCCGGGGCAAACCAGCACTAGGCTCCTTAAGGGGAATTAGAACAAATTAAAGAAAACGTCAAGGAGCCTACCTGCTTGACTCTGTGACTAATAAGTAAATGCTTTTTGATGCAAATTCTACCCAAAATCACGTCCAGTGTCACCTCGGAAATTCTCGACTGAGGTACGGGAAAGAGTTGCCATCATGCTTAGCACGCAGTAAACCCTCCGAAAGGGTTAATAACAGCTGTCGTTTTCCCGGCTTAGACTAACGGTCCTTTCGCGAGGACCGTTACTGTCCACTGCTGTGGCTGACCTGCAGAATGCCCGGTTCCTGAAGACCGCCAACCTCAGCTCAGAAACAGGAGCCGAGGCCTGTCCCCGGGACACTAAGGCCCGGAGCCGCGCGGGCGGCCGGTAGGCAAGTGGCAGAGCAAAGCCGGGCGCCCTGGCCCAAGCCGGGCCCTCGCGCCGGGTCCTCTCCAGGCGGGCCCGGCCTCCCGCTGACACCCGCGCGCCCCCTACCTGGCCGCGGCACTCACCTTCATGACTTCCAGGCCCGGGGGCCACCGGGGCTCGCCCAGGGCATCCATGGCCTCCCCAAAGGATGCCAAGGGTTCCACTGCCCACTGCTCTCCCGCGCTCCACCGCCACTCGAAATTCCCCGCGCTACCGTGTGCGCTACGACAGCAGCCCGCGACGCGCCGGCGGCGGCGTGTGCGCGGAGCCTGCCGGGAGTTGTAGTACGTAGGCGGAGCGCAGCCACGATGCTATTACTGAGCGTGCGCCAGATCCGCCTTTCCAGCCGGAAGTTAAATGGTTAATGGGCCCGCTTTTGTATTTTGAACCTTAATGAATAAATGTCTGTTGAATGTTGGGGGGAAAGACATCCAGGAGTCAAACCAAATCCACACTTTATGAATCTTTCAAGGTCTAAACTAATGTTTTTTTCCTCCGGGTTGCCTTCTCTGACTGTTATATAACTGCTGTGAGCAAGGGTTTTCATATCTATTATTTTATCTAACCCCATCACAATTCTGCGAGGTAAGCATTATCATTGCCAGTTTACACAAAAGGAAGCTTCCACTTAAAATCTTGAATAGCATGTTCTTTTTGTTGTTGTTTTTTCAGGATTGAATAGAGTGTTCTTGATTCACACGGTGTCATTGTCCAGATTATACAATCAGGACCTCTAGACTTTGAATAGATGCTCTTTTATTAAAATAAAATTAAAATTAAATTTTAATTTTAAGTTATTCCTATTCTTAAACACTTTAACTTTGTATAATTTTTCAGATATTTCCTATGCTAATACATAGATAAGGTTTTCCACAAATCCTATATAATGAAAGCCTAATACGCAAATTGACCAAACTGGTCACTATGACATGCACTGACCACCAGGGGGCAGATGCACAATGCAGGAGCTGCCCCCAGCCTGCAGGCCCCAGGCCAGCCAAGGCAGGAGAAGGTGGGAGGGGTCCCAATCACCCTGCCAGTTGCCCCACAGATGGGCCCTGATCACCCGCCAGGCCTACGGACCCTTCCCATGCATGAATTTCATACATTGGGCCTCTAGTGTTATTATAAATTCAAAGCTCTATCAACTTGAGTTTTTCTATATGTTTACTTAACGATACATCTTGATACCTCTGGATGTTAATACATATAGCTTTACCTCATTCTTTTTAATAGCTATGTAGTCCATTATATAGATACACCATAATTTATTTATCTACTCCAATACTGAGGAACATTTAAGTTGTTTCCAATTTTTCACTATTGCCAAGTGTTGCGATGAACACACTATATAAATGTTGGCACATTTGAGCCTGGATATATGATGGATGACTTCCAATAAATGAAACTATTAGCTTAATTTGTTTACACTTTTAAACTGTGCTGGGTGATTTTCCAAAAAGGCTGTACCAATACATTTACCCTCTCACTAAGTGGGTATAAGAGCACCTGTTGTCCAAAACTCACCAGCACACCACTCAGCCTCTCTGCTCAACTCGCTCTCATCGATGGCCCAAAGTGGGCCATTGTCAGGTCTCCTGGGCAGCAAGTCAACAGTTATGTTGCTCAGGGTAGCTTGCCACTGCCACTCCTCCTGATCCATGTATTCATTCATTCATTCAGGTATTTTTCTAAGTGCTTACCTTTGTCACTCAAGCTTCCTTGTGAAGTAGGCAGAGGTGAGGTTGTTATTGCCATTTTATAGACACAGATACTGAGGCTCAAAGAGGTTAAGGCTTCATTCCTTTGGTCTCTCTTCTTAAGGAACCTCTGGCCCCAGAGCCAGAGTTGTACTCCACTGATTTTTCCCAAATACTCACTGGGCAATAAGAATATTAATAGCAGTTGGGCAAAGGACTTTAATAGACATTATAATAATAACTGACATTTATTAGGCACTTGTATGCAAAGCATTGTTCTAGGTATTTTTACACATGCTGACTTATTTCAGACTCCAACCAAATGAGAAAAGGGAAGTAACAGGAAACTTGCTCAGGGCACTCTGCTGCTCAGTAAAAGAGGAAGGACTTGAACTTAGGCAGTCTGTGCTTAAGAGTCCATATTAACCACTGCAGAATATTTTCATAAGGCCCTCATTATGAGAACTATTTCCATTTTATAGACATGGAAATTGAGTCTCAGAGAGGCAAAGGAATTCACTCAAGATTTCACAGGTTGCCAGTGGCAATTTCCAGCCTTGAACCTAGGTCGTTTAATCCCAAACCAGAAGGGATCACCCACTGACACTTTACAGAGGAATAATTGAGCAGACAAGGAAGCAGGGCAGAGGTCGGAGGATCTCAGGATGCTGGACCTAGTGGGACATCAGTAGGTAGGTGGGAATAGCAGGGAAATGGGAGGCAGCAGTGGGTTTGTATCAGCTAATTAGAAGAGGGCATGCAAATGAACTCCAGGCTGAGTTAGATGGCTTTGCCCACCTAGATCTGGATGCTGGGAGAGTGGTGTGGGCTTGGAGAGACAAAGGAATTGAGACCAAAAGCAGGTTCCCCACCTGAGTGCACCAGGAATTATTCCTTTATGGTACTAGTTGGTTACAAAGTAATTAGGTTTGTAATTAGATGACAAAGAGCTGGGATGTGAGGGAAGAGAAGATGAGAAAGGAAGGAGAGAAAAGAAGGAAAGAAATCCATTCTTTTTTTAAATATATTTAAAATATACTTTTAAATATATTTTATCAATTTTTTTACAAAGAGAAAGGGAGAAGGAGAGAGAATTGGAAACATCGATGAGAAACATCAATCAGCTGCCTCTTGCACACCTCCTACTGGTGATGTGCCTGCACCCAAGATACAAGCCCTTGACAGGAACCAAACCTGGGACCCTTGAGTCCACAGGCTGAAGCTCTATCCACTGAGCCAAACTGGTTAGGGCAAGAAATATATTCTTCCTGTTCAGCCAGGAAGACAGATTTGGGAGGCATCACTTGTTGGTCCTGGGGTCCACAGCCACCTCCCTGAGTTTGGAGGGCCTCCAGGGCAGCTCCCAATGCCATTCATCTCTAAGTTCCAGCCACGAGCTACTCAATGAGACTGAATGAATGAATGAATGAATGAGTGAATGGATCACCGGAATGAGCCCACATTTCCACAAATCTTTTCCTCCCAGGCTGAGCAGCTCTGATCCTGCTCTCTGCAACAGCAGCCACTCAAGCCCACCTTGGACCTGGGAAGCAAAGCCACAGGCACAAGCAGTTCTGAAAGGCCCACCTTGAGTCACACAAGGCAGCTGTCTTCTCTTCCCGTGGTATTTATCCACCTCGGGAGCCAATCTCCTCTAACATGCTGCTGTTTCCACGGATATTCTCCTTCTGTTAAATCAATAAAGAGATTGTACTTCCTTACTCAGGAGTGAAAACAAAATGTTCCGCACACAAAAGCAGGCTAGTGCTCAGTGGAATCTCCCATGGCACTCAGCACAAAGTGAGAACCCAGGACAGGGCTGCCAGATAAAATACAGAATGCCAAGGAAATGTGAATTTCAGACAAATAGAAAGCAATTTTTTTTAATATAAGTACATCCCAAATATTGAACATGATGCAGGTATATTTTTAAAATATATTTTCATTGATTTCAGAGAGGAAGGGAGAGATAGAAACATCAATGATGAGAGAGAATCATTGATCAGCTACCTCCCCCTCTCCTCCCACTGGGATACAGACTGCAACCCAACTGGGAATCAAACAACCTGCTGGTTCATGGGTTGACACTCAATCACTGAGCCACACCAGCTGAGCTCAATCTCTTTTTCTTGATGTCTCATATCTGTTTTCTTCAGTGCTGGCTTAATACTCAAGCAGTCTCCCCCCACACACACACACACACACACATCCCGCCACCCATACACACATATACATGGTGGCAAACATGGCCTCCAGCCAGAATGATCCATGCCTGCCCTCGTGGAAAAGAAAACACCTCATTCCCAATAGAACCCAGAAAAAGTGCCAGGGCTGAATCTCATTGGCCGGAGTTGCGTCACATGTCCCATCTTTGAACTAATCACTGTGCCTCAGATTGTCTTGGTCTCAGTGTGTGGGTAGGGATATGCCCAAAAGAACATTGGAATGCTGTACATAGTAAGATTGCAAAAATGGTTGCAAATTAGTCCCCTGCCTGTATCCACACCTCCTTACAATCTGAGTCCTTCCATCAGGAGGTGGACTTGTTTTTCAAGCCTTCTGTCTGAATCTGGACTTTGCTGTCTTACTTTGGCCAATGTGACATTGACAAAGGTGATGCAAATAGGGTTGAAAAGTGCCCATACACTGGAGCTTACCCCTGCTCTTGCTGCTCTTGGGAACCTTCTAACCAGCACCATGTGAACAAGCCCCAACAATCCTCCTGGATGATGAGAGACAGTTAGCCCAGTCATCTTTATCACCAGCGGACATTGAACCACCTACAAGGCATGTGAGTGAGGCCATCCTAGACTGCCCACTTCCTTACCACAGAGATCAGCTCAGCCTGTCCTGACCAGAAAACTGTTCAACACACTAATGTTGATTATCTTAAGCCACCAGATTTGGGGGTGGTTTGTTATACAGCAATAGCTAACTGTGACAGTGATATAAAATCACAGTGACCCTCCACAGGAGCCTTCTGCTTGCCTGGAGCTGGCGTGGGAGCCCCCGATACAGAATTGCTGGAGCCTCAGTCCTGATGGTCCCTCCTCCCCCCAAAGCAATCTTCATCTGCACACTTTGCTCCCAATACCTGTCTCTACTCTGCTTCTGATCTGGTGCTGACTTATGAGTGTTAGGGGCAGGGCAATCCTTCTTGTGAAGAGCAAGTCCTGTGCAGGTCTCCTTGTCTCTGTAGGCTCCAGGCACTTCTCCTTACAAGGAGGCAGCTATCCACCTGGAACAGAGTGAAGGGCGTGCAGCTGAGTTCCTGTACCAGGGAATCTCCACCATCTGTCATGGTGCCTGGACACGGCTCCCCATCTCAAGCTCCATTCTTTGGCTCTTCTAGGCTCTTTAGATTCCCAGAGCCCCGTGGGAGAGTTGAGTGTTCCTCTGGGGCTGCTAAAGCAGGTTACACCTGTTACTTTACA